GGAGCGCTGGGGGGCTGCTGCAGGGTGGGGGGCAGATGGAAGGGTAGAAACATGGGCTGAGGGTGCCGTGGGGGGTGCTCCATGGATGCCCTGTGCTGGAGAAGCACCCTGCACCCCAGACAACTCCCAGAACCCCATGCAGGACCCGCTTGCCCATGGGGGGACCTCCAGCAGGACCCCTATGGTTGCCGTGGGCAAGGGGTGCTGGGTGAAACCAAAATGGGTGGATGGGTGGGGTCTAAGCGGCAGAAGCCTCCTTGGGTCTTCTGGGGCAGGGTCCAGAGGCTTTCCCCAGCAGAGGTGCTCCTGCAGCTCCTGCCTCCTCCAGAACCTGCTCCATCCGATCTGGCCACCCTGTGGCACAGAAAGAGGGGACAAAGCCGGAGACAGGGACTGGCCCTCAGTGGAGGCTGCCAGCACTGGGCATCACAGGTTTCCCCCTAAACCTGAAGTTTTCCCAGGTTAACTGGGTGCAGCTGGGACACAGGACCCCATCCCACAGCTCACACCATGCCCTGCAAGGAGAGCGCTGGAGTTGCGTCCTAAAGGGAAAAGCTGGGAAACAGCTACATCTGCCACATCTCTTCATCACATGGTATGGGGACCAGGTCCCTTTGGGGTCCTTTGGGACAAGGCTGTCCCTGCCACCAGGTCCTGACCCATCTGCCCCACCACGAAGCCACTTTCATCCACACCAAGGCCATGACGGGGAGCTCATGCTGCCTCCTGCTCCGCAGTGGAGATGTGTCGGAGGAGCCGAGCAAGGACGGGAGCAGCATCATGAGGTGAGCCCAGCGTGTGGCACTGGAGGTGCTGCAGGACGCGCTGAGGAAGGACCGGTTCCTGATAAAAAATCTGAAGGAGGTGGTGGTGCTGGCCGGGGAGGGCAGGGGTTGCAGCGCGATGCCATGCTCACTGAGATGCTGCTCCAGCGCCTCATCTCCCAGCTCCAGCAAACAGCTCTCCGGAACCCCCCCAAAGCCAAATCCTGTGCTTACAAGCAAATAAAGGTGATTTTGGAGGAGCAGGAGTGAAGCACGGCCGAAGGAAAGGCTGAGCCTCACGGGTGGCCCATCCCAGCTCCCCAAGGCTGCCATCAAAGCAGCCTCAGGACAGGCCTTGGGAGCCCTGCAGTGGTGACCTGGCGAAGATTTGACGGGAAGTTGTTTTATCTGTTGCTGTCAGTGCCTCTGTTCTCTAATTTGGTGACTTCCTGGTGGCACCTGGAGGTAACACCTCCTGCAGGGTCTCCCACAGCCTGTCTTGCAGGCAGGGGGTCCGGTCCCTCCCCAGGGACGGGGCCACTGACACCCGGGGTTTGCTGGGCTGCAGAGTGACACCAGCCCAGCCCAGCGCTGCTTGAGTTGCCTGTAACGAGCCACATGAAATGGCTCGGGCATAATTAGAAGGGGATCCACTATAGCGAAACAGGCCCTTAATTTTAACGAGCACAGCCCTCTGGACAAATGCCAGGCACCCAACGGTGGCAGGAATGGCTGTGCTGGTGACAGCTCCTGTCACCGTGGAGGTGACAGCCCCGTGTCAGACTCAGCTCCTGCGGGATGTGGTGCCAGCCCCGTGGAGGGGGCACCAGGATGGAGCAGCCAGCAAAGATCCCTTCTGCCCATGGGATGGACATCTCCTCAGGCACTCCCTGCCGTGCCTCCACCGCCATGCACCGCAGTTACTGCCGTTCCCAGGGAAAAGCCGCGTTTCAAAGAAAATAAACCATCTGGCTTGGAGCGGAGGGCTGTACGTGAGCACCAGAGTGCAATGGGACATGTGGCCTCGCTGCCATCACCTCTTCCCCATCACCTCCTGCCTGGAGATGCTGGTGGTAACAGGCAACACCTGCAGAAATGAGTGACCCTCATCATCTCCTGATGACCTGAGCGTGCCAAGCGCGCTGCTTTGCTCCTGGCTGTTTCTCCATGACCCCCTTGCTGGGAGAAGGCACCAGTGGCACCCATCAGTGGAGCCAGGCAGAGGACACAGCCCTCGCTTTCCAGCGCTCGGCCCCCGACAGCAGGCAAGCAGGCTGGAAAAACAAAGGAGACAATTAAAACCAAAATCCAACCCAGCTGCCTGCTTTTTTTTTACCCCTCCCTGCACTGACAGCTAACGGCTGTTTCCCTCTTCACTGAAAGGCTCTGATTTCCCCAAGCTTGGCCAGAAAAGCCCCTGGCCAAAGCCCCCCACACCCTTCAGAAGGGCTGTGACCTCAGGCACCGGGTGCAAGCAAAGCCTGGCATCTCCCTGCCTGCTCCTCCCTAAGCAGCACAGCTTCGCCTGCCTTTGCTTGCAGCCGGGAGGAAACGTTTGCCGGCACTGGGTCTGGCTCTGCGGTGAGGCCCCCCTGGCCCCTTCCCAACTAAAGCACTGGGACAAAAGGGCACTGCCCTTCCCCTCGCCCTCCAGCCCTCTCCTGGCACAGCTTCTCTTCCTACATCCCCCCACAGGTCAGCTATCGAGCTGATTAACATTGCCAGGGCGTAAATAACTCCGCCGCAGGGGTCATGGCAGCCAGAAGCGACCCAAGCAGGGCTAGCGAAGCTGGTTTTGCCTTCCCCGCTCGCAGGCTCACTGCTGGGGGAACAAATTGGGGTGGGCAGAACGGCAGAGCAGCAGCTTGGGTTTTCCCCAGTTTAAGTCCGTTTCCTTGCCGTGGTGCAGGAGGCAGAGGGGAGGCCAGCACCCGCCCAGCCCCGGTGTGCCCAGCCAGCCCCTCTCGTGCTCCTAAGGGCTCTGAACTGGCCCTTCACACTCTTCCAAAACTCTCCCCAATTGCAACTTGCGTTGCTCTTCTCAAAGGCTGTGG